AGCGGAGCAATTACTAATGTACATTTAGCAATCTTGTTCTAATTCACACTCCAATATTGTAAGTTTTGGATTATCCCATGAATCAATCTTACATTACTAATAAAGGATGTGTAATATATATACACAAGATGCTTCGTAATTGCACGGCACTATTTTATTAGGCACGTGTTCACTAAAAAAAATTAAACAAAAAAGTTCATATTAACATATATCTCAAACTCATTTATTAAATAGATGTAAAAGGTTAAAGATTTATTATTATTACTATTAATTTATTATTACAACATTTAGAGTAACTGTTCAAAGGGGCCTCCGTTTTGTTTAATGAAACATTCAGCACGACGAATCCATGCTTCTCTGACTCTTCGTGTAGCATCAGGATGGTTCTTGATAGTTACTGTATAGTTGATAACATACCTAAAATAGTGCCGTGAAATTATGAAACACCCTCCCTGTATATGGTCTCCATTCGTGTTGCCCAAAATCGGTTTTGGTCTTGCACTTTGCAAGACCAAGGCCGCCTAACTGTTGCAAGACCAAGACCAGGACTTTATATATTAAAAAAATCGATTTTTTAAATAAAAATTAAGGCAAAATAGTTGCTAATACTTGACAATCTTAGTAGATATATGTTAATAATTGGTACAAGCAATATACTTTTGCATTTAACTCCTCTAAGTTTTCATTCGGGCTTAGTAAGGTTTCTCCTATCTAAAAAAATACAGTAATATCTCTATAGTAATAAGCTAATAAGAAACTGCAAGATTGTTGCGAGACTCTTGAGCAAGGCCAGTATCATGAACAAGACTGAGTTTCCAAGACCAAGACTAGTCTCGGTCTCGCATTTGGGCAACACTAGTCTCCATACTGCAGCGGCAGGCCGCCCGTAGCTCCATTGCCGAACCCTTTAGAGGTAAACTGGCAGTATCCTTCCCACCGATTCACTCGAGTTCAAAGTCAATGACAATTCGGTCTAGATCCATAGAATATGGCTGCTAAGAGTCAGCTGTACGTACGAGGAATCATTTAAGGGTTTACTTTTTTTTTTAACTACCGAATTCTGGTAAAAGTAATTCAAGATGCTCCTCTAGGTATTTCGAGCTTATTGTAATTTGGCTCACAAGGTTTCTTATTTTTAAAGTTATAATAACTTAATATTTTTTTACGTTTTAAGTCACATGGTTTACAAAGATTTTAATTTGGCCTCCATTCTGAAAATGTCAATACCTGTAAATACAATTAGTTTTTGACACTTTCATCTTTAGCAATAATTCAACTTAAAGAACAATTTTCAAATTTCCGTGTATTGATTTATGCTCTATGCAATAAAACTCTAGGAGCTCATACACTTTTTTTTAATTCATCTATTTAATAGAAAATCATCTATTGCCGAAAACTCTGCCTCACAGGCAGACCCTGTAATGTAATCCCTAGGAGCCTAATGAGTGAATAACGTGTTTCCAGATTCATGTTTGAAAAAGTTAGGATTATCCTTCCCAAATCTTTTATAAGACTCTCTCTCATGATAGCGATGTTGGGAACTTTGAGAATACAATAGTGGAAGGATGAACAAGAGGAAGTAATTTTGTAATAAAAAGTAAAAAGTCTGAGAAAATCGAAACTGTAAAGCGGATTACTACATATAATGTACAGAGTGTGATCTCCCACCTGTCTTGCAAACACAAAATAATTCTTGATGAGTCTGTAAGATATCTGTAAGATTGCCCTCTGCAGAAAGTATTTTTAAAATGGTACATGCATAATTTATTTAATTCTATTTGCAGCTGTGTTATTAGATTTTTTAAAATATTGGCTGCCCTCTCATGCACCACGGAATGAAAAAAATAAATAATAAATTCACTCAAAAAATAAATTCATATTGTTTTTAAAAAAATAAATGTTTCCACCAGGGGATTAAATCGGTTGATGATTTAAATATTAAAGATATTTTAATTAAATTTCCTGACCCTCTTAGAAATTTTCCTCATATGTAGAAATTTAAACTGAGACTTGTAAGTAGGTACAAAACATCTATAAGTTTGTTTAAAAAGTAGCTTTATAACGATGCGTTACTATATTTTTTCTGTATTGAGATCTGCAAATCTTTTCGGAAATTTTAAATGTTTGGCTAATAAATAATCATAAATTACATTTCAGTGCCATCTTTGAACTTGTATATAACTTATTAAGACAACTCAGAAATCTGTCACATTTTGGCAAGAACTAAAGATACTTTCTGATAAATATATTCGTTCTCTTTTCAACAAGATTAATGTAATTTATACTATCTTAACTTGTTACATAGAGGAAATAAAATATTTAAGTAGTCCTTGCATCCGTTGGGTCAGCCTGTCCAAGAGGAGACCATGGAAGATATAGGTTATCGCTGATTGCTTTTTGAATTTCATCAGCTCTAGTCTCGTTAAGAAGTAACACTGGAAGTTCTTGACCTCAAGACCGGACCCAGTCCTCATTTCTGCAAAGTTCTATAGCTCGTCGTATTTGCAGTGTCTCCCATCACCTTCAGGAGTATGCAAGTGCTTAATATGATCACCATTTAAATTCTGTCCCAAAGAATAATTTCAGTACATCTATCCATTCACTAACTTTTTAAATTTGTCATGCTCCTTTTAAAGGCGGATTGCATTTCTTATCTGTAATACGAATTGATCATTTTTTAAAATCGCCGTTCCTTAAATTATTTTATAATTAATATTTTCTCGCAATGGTTTCTGTATGATACTTTCAATAAATATTAACGTTTTTAACTATTTTCTTCTCAAATCTGGGTTAAAACTGCCTGTTTTTTTTTTCAGAAAAATTCTCAAAATTAATTCAATGGAGTAATGTCCTGTTAATATATACAAATTAGTTTGACGAACTTAGACGTGATAACATGTTTATGTGCTACAGACAACTATTATGTCGCAGCTAGCTGAGCCCTAACTCAACTTCTTTATTTTTTCTTTTTTTCTTTTTTTTTTTGGCTTTATGAAAAGGAATCTACCTGAGTTTTACTTCTCCTCAAGTGGATTGCAGGAGAAGCTTGTTTCAGGAGTTCCATAATATGAGTGTAAGAATGAATGTCAATACTTATTATGTTTGTTTTACTTTTATTTTTCCCTAATATTGTATCTATCCCTGCTTTATCTTATGTTTGTAAGTAAGGTATGGTTATTTTTTATTACAACTTTCTTGATTATAATTTCATAGTATTTTTTAAATTTAAATCTGCAATTGATATTATTGTCTAAACATTTATATCTTCATTTCAGTTATGACTTGATCCATTAAGCAATTTATGCACTAGAAGCTGGACTACAACTACTCATAAAAAAATCTGGTGCGCGCATCACACGACTTTCACTTACCACCCTGTTCTTAGTAGATATAATTATTTTCAAACAAAGGGGCAGTGAAAGTAAAAATTATAGACGCGATATTTATTTACATTTCATTTTGGGTATTTCTGTTTGTTTAAATACCGTTATAAGGTATATATAAGCGGTATTTTTATATCGCTCAATTCTTCTTCTTCGTCTTCCTCACAATTTTTCACAATTCGTCTCTGCTTAACCGCTTCATTTGGTTGAAGGATTTGCCTCTTCTACCTCCGATCCTCTCCATGAACTCCTGATATGAGACTCTGGGACGCCCTCGTGGCCTCTTCCCTGTGGGTCGAGGGTCTAATATCTTTATAGGGTCCATGTCCTCGTTCATGCGGCAGACATGTCCAAACCACCTTAATTGCCTGTTCTCCAAGGTGGTTTTGAGTTCAAGTACTTCGAGCTGTTCTCTGTTAGTTTCATTTCTAATGCGATCCCTCCTAGTTTTGTCCACCGATCTATGTAGGAATTGCATTTCCGCTACTGTTATGCGATTATAATGTTTGTCCAACATAGTCCAACTTTCTCCGCCGTAGGTGAGAATAGGAAGGTATACAGACTTATAGACGTGCATCTTGGTATTTTTATCCACTTCACGGCAGCTGAGGATACTGCTAGCGATCTGGTGATATGCTTGATTCGCCTTAGATATTCTATGTGAAATCTCAGCATCTATCTTACCAGCGTTAGTAATGATGGCACCTAAGTATGTGTACTTCTTTACTACCTCAAGAATCTCTCCGTTGCAAACCAATTGGACGTCTATCTATCTAGAAATGTATCGCTCTATTCTATACAATTAAACATTAAATAATACCAACGATAGTATTTATGAAGAAAGCATACATAAAAAATAGTAGTAAAAATAGCGTACATAATATTGTCGGAGTCTGTATTTATTATACTCAGGTTTCGTATGGAAACCTGTTGTAATCTTTCGGGTGAGCACTGGTGGGCTCGTATTCCCTTGGTTCTATTACAACTACTATCCGTTACGATCTCTTATTTATCCTTTAGTTAATTATCAAATTCTTTCATAATTTATGTTTAAATATTTTCTATATCAAAGATTAGTGAGAAATGGTTAATTATTTCAAATAAAAAAGTTAAAGATACTTTATAGGCAGCTAATATTTAAAATTATCCATCTAATACCTGTTAGGGCATACCAAAGTAAAAAAAAAATACCGATATTATATTAAAAAATGCTTAATAATACACTGATATAGTACACTGATAGAGTTTAATCAAAATTATACGAGCCGTTTTTGAGAAAAACGTAAAAATGTTTTAAATCGATTATATGAAGTACCACTACCGGTGCCGATTTTGACGAAAATACTGCTATAACATCTAAGGCTTATAAAAAGCTTATAAATGCAATTTCAGTTTCGTACGACTTTTCGTTTTTGAGCTAGGCAGTCGTCCACACACAGACACACTATTTTGTGGGAGTTGGTTATTTGGACCGAGGGAACCTCAAGACGTTAAAAACTCAGATTCCGAAATTTTCACGATCCCAATACTTACACTTACTATATATTACATATAGAAAGTGTAAGAAAAAAACCCGTAATTTACGGGTGCAGTAAAATCATTAAATTTTCAAATTACCTTTTCCTCCTTAATATTGATGGTGAGTTGTTCCCGACTCGCAGCCATTGAATTGGTATCCATTTTGCTCAATGATAACTTCTTAAGCCTGAAAAAAAATGACCAACAATTAATTAAAAGGAATACCTTTTAAAGACATTTTAAGATATTTTATTAAATTTCCACCAGGAAATGACTAAAGAGAGATTGGGTAAGAGATCTCCTTTCCTGAATTAAAGAAGTAAATCCATAAAAAACAGGAAAGTGCTGCTGGGTACTATTCTTTCTCATGCCTAAAATTCCATTTTGTTTACTATGACATCACATCTGCTTATTATCAAGATTATGACAGGTGTGGATAAAAATGTGAAGAGAAAAAAATGGTTATTTTAGCATAATTATTTGATGTAATTGACCACGTAATTAGATTGTTTTAAAATAAGTACATACACAACATAACGTATATGTAGTGTTCAAAATTACTTGACGATTTTTTTTTTTTTTTTGTTGAATTGGTTGTAACTCTGTGTTTTTTTGTTGTTTTTTGCATTTTACCAATAAGTGGTTATACACTTGAGCCACTGGTAAATTTCCTAAGATAATTAAATTATATTCAACACTTATTTTACGTATCTACGCTTCATGTTGAACACTCGAACGGAAATTAATTAAATGTTAATATTACAACAATCCTTATGTAAAAACGATCGAGATGACAAAGCACCTATTGTTAAATTACACGATTGATATACCATTTATCAATTTAATTAAGAATGTTTTACTACATACATTCCATTGCCAACGATATTTTAAATTGAGAACGTTGATAAATCTGTTGAATGAAATTATTTATAGTTTAATAGAAAATAGCATTTAAATTAAATAAATGTCGTAAGCTTATTACTTCTTGTCCTTCGCCATCTTTCAGAGTTATCTCACTTATCCCTATTGAAAAAAACTTATATGTAGAATTGCACTTTGCCGAACGCATAACTTGAAATCCGCATATAAGACTAAAGCGACATGCAACTGTTCCATGTTTCCAGCAGCTTCGACATTTACTAAACAAACGTTCTAAGCTTTTAATTAATTATAGAAAGCTTCATAACATGACTATAATAAGACCTATATTGACATACGGGGTCGCCATTTATTTCTCCATTAAACCATCGAATTCCGTATTTAATTCTTATAATCCTAAACCCAGCGTAAAAGGCTCCATCTATCGTCACAAATATGGAAATATGTCGTCACAACGGAAACTTTGCCAGAGATTAAACATATCCAAATAACCATGTAGTAATGAAGTATACCATGTAGTAATATCTGGAATAGACGCTGCATATTTATAATTTTAAAAATTAACTTATTTCATAACTACTTAAGAATTATTGTGGATGTGCTGAAAACACTAATATACTTCATACATTAAACACTCGCCTATTTTTTTTTTTCAAAGATGCTAATAAATGTTAATAAGAGTATTTTTGCTATGTGAGAAAATCTCTATTATATAATATATAATGTAATATATATTATATCTTCAATTAAACATCATCAATAGACCTGATGTTAAAAAAATACATGAATATTTTGGGAACTTTGGAAACAATTTCCCATTTATTATTTCTGTTATAGATTACTCAAAAAATCTTTATATATAAACCAGGGCTTACTCACTTATTATGTTGCCCCACCATTTTGGTATGATCTAAAAATCAGTCGGACAACCTTTTACAATAGAAGACTGGATATCAACTGACGCAAATCCACTCAAATTCTACCTTGTCAGTTCCGATCATGAGATTCCATTATCTTTTTGAAGTTGATTATCTCACCTTTTAATTTACTCTTGATTTCAATATTAATAATTCAGCAGAAACTTCAGGGTAATTACACAAAGCATGATCAACAAGAAATAATTGACATTTTATTAATAAATCAGTTCGAGTAAGAGATAAGATGGACTTTTGAAGTCGTTGCTTTGCTTAATATTTGTACTGATATTAGTGAAAGTGAAGTACAAAAGTTTTTGAATTAAAAGAAGAACTATAGTGATTATGAATTATGGTACTATTCAAAATTTAATTCATGTTAAAAACAAGTAGTAAAAATGAAATACGAACGTATCTCTAATATCTATATTCAAGTTTGTGACCTCTATGTATTTTTAGTCGAATGGCTTCACTCCGGTCACACTTTACTATTAGACATTTTCCTAATGTTTTGTTATATGCCCGCGCGCGATATAGCCCAGTCAAAGAATGCTACAAAAGGGGATATAGAAGGAAATGGCGGTGACACAATTTTGGACTTTGGAAGATTGGTTGAACTAATAAGAAGGTAAACATACTAAAAGTCCCCACTCTTTACTTGTGAGCAAGATGTGGGAGGGGGCACCTAGAAGGGCACTTTTTTTGTTTACATCAGGAAAACTATCCATCGCATCGACAAAAAGGTTCTATACAGAATGAAAGCTGATAAAATTTTCAATATGATTGATTACATAGCATTTTTGCTACCTCGCATAGAATTTCCATGATTTTCGTCCTTAAATATGGGTAATATTGAAAAAAAAAAGTTTTGCCTCATGTTCATTGCTATTTTTCGGGTTTTTGCTTATATCAGGAAAGCTATCCATCGCATCGAAAACAAAATTATAAAAAATTAAAGCTCATAAAATTTGCAATATCATTGATTATATATATATTTTTTGGTTATCTCGCTTATTGTCCGAGATATCCGTCCTGCACTATCGCTAATGTGAAAAAACAAAATTGTACCTCATGCTTTTTTTTTTCTGTATTTGACTAACTAACTCTTGATGCTTTCGTTCTACTACTGAGTCATGAGAAAGAAAGTTTTTAATATTTAAATCTTCTTCAATAATGTATATTATTTTACTAGTTTATAATCAAAGGTTCAATTATAATACTAGTCAGATCAATTATAACTTGACATGTCAATTCCGAGAATTTGTAGGAAAAAAATAATTTTTATAATGTATGAGGTGAAATTTTTTATTTGCAATAGCGATAGCTGAGGGCGGATATTTTGTACACTAAGTGAGATAGCGAAAAAAAAAATACGTAATCAATCATATTGCAAATTTTATCAGCTTTAATTTTTGCACTTATTATAAGATTTGTCGATGCGATAGATACAAAAAAAAATTTTTAATTGGTTGGCTTTATAAATTTTCTATATCTTTGTTGATAAGATCTTATGGAGAAATTTAAACATGTTGTTTTTGTAATTAAATGGTAATTGATTTGGTTCTGTATTTATATATAGAAATTCAGTGAAACCAAAAATTTATTTTAAGACGTAAATAGAAAGTAAACCTGAAATATATGCATATTTTAACTAATGGTTTTTATTATTATAAGGTTTTTATTTACTTTTTGGAATACGTATTTGGTAATAAATTGGTTTTCCTGTTTTTTTGAAAAATAACACCTAGGTTTTAACTGACAAAAACGAGATTTTGTCTAAAGAGAGAAAAAGAATTGAAAAGGATTTTAAAAATAAGACAAAAACAAGTATAATATAGATGATAACGGTTTATAAAGATATGTTTGAAATAGCCACAAAGGACGAAACGTTACATATATGGATGTGTGATATAACCATACAAAATTTTCATAATGTTAAAAAGAAGTTTTTAAAATGAAAAATGGGTCCCTGTTTGTCGATTATCAGTTAATTAACTTCTTATAAAAAATCGATTATTTTAGTTTTTTTAGGAAGGCTAATAGATGATTTAAAAAAAATATTTTTCAATGAAGTGCTCCGTAACGTCCACAACTTAAAGGAAACAACTGCTAAAGATATTTTTGAAGGAGTTGAAAATTCTGCATAGAAGAACAATATTAAAAACTTTAAGTTTGCCTTAGCCCTTGTGAATGCAAAAACGTGTTGAAAAAGTAAAGAAGTTTATTATCTTTTATAAATAAATTTCGAGCCAGTATTTTTACATAGCATCATCCATCATTAGTGTTTTGCTTTAAATGCTTGGATATATAATTTTGGAAGGGTTTCAGAAACAGTTATTATTGTTCTAAAAGCTTTTCCAAGAACACTAGCTAACCTTGGCTTGATAATTTATGCGGATACATTATAACTGAATAGGAAAAAAAAAGGGCTTGTGGTTTGATTTGTTTTCCTTGTTTATATGCTTGCTACAAAATGTTTCCTTGCTTTATTGTTCCGGCTATCGTTTATAAATGGTAAGTCTGTGGTTAATAGTGAATAATTTGCAGTTAAATTAGATATATATAAAAAAATAGAATAATAAGGCACATTAAATACGAGGTTTGTATGACAATGTCGTTAGATACAACTAACCACGGTGAATTCGATGATTTTCCGAGTATTTATTTTATAATTTATTTATATATTAAATAATATAACATTCTGTCACTTGGACGATGATTACAGAGAGTTAAGGCCACATTCACAATATATGTACAAAATTTAAGGATGTTTGTTTACTGTTCTATATATCATGGCTGATAAATAGTCAGGACGCAATCATTTATAAGGTTTTCTTTAATGATTATTTGAACATCATCAGTGCTCGAAACACGGCTTGATGATGACCAACATTCTCGGGTTGAATGTGTCCTTATGATTTATCACACATTATATGCACAAAACAAATATAAAATAAACAGAAGCAACCTAACAACTAAATAATAATTAATGAAGAGAAGAATAGTTTGGGGTGCTCAGTCAAAAAAGGAAGGCAAAAAATAAATTATAATATTTATTTTTTACATATGTAAAAAATAAATATTATAATTTATTTTTTGCCTTCCTTTTTTGACTGAGTACCCCAACTATTCCTCTCTTCATTATCCACGACAGTCAACCAATTACCAATTATAAATAATAATTAAAAATTATATAAAATAAATATCAATCTAATATGATGAAGATGAGTAAATAAAAAAAAAAAACGCATACTTTCCTATATACATTATTTACAATCAGTAAACAATAATAATCAAAATAATATAATTTAAATAAAATCTTCTAAATACAAATAATGACAGTAGATTGATGATTGCCCGTAGTAAATAATCGAAGAGAAGTTTTTTTGTGGTT